TAGAAAATTATTTTTCTTCCAATTCTGAGTGTGAACATACTAAATGTGCATATAATATTTTATGTATAAAATATATTGTAATTAATAAATATTAATTATCTTTTAAATTAATTGAAATATTTTTGCTTCAAATTATTTCAATAAGCATTTCTAAGAATCTAATCAATTCTAATAAATACAATAAAAAAAGAAAATATCTTAAAGCTATGCATTTTTACAATAATTTTGTAGGATATGGAATATGAATATGCCAATAGAGAATATTTAGATTAAGAGAACATCATATGTAATAGCAAATCATCTTCTAGAAGAACGTTCTAAGGTGGGATTAAAATATTTTGACATTATAGATTTTGTTGAAATCAGTTTAAAACATTGCTACCACAGAACTGTAGACAGAGAATTTAATAATGAAAATTACAACTGGAATGATATATGCCGCGAAGTACTAAATAGAGTTAGGTTTATATCTATGGCAGACATTCTATGCTCCACGAGCACAACAGCAAGTACGTAAGTAAACTCAATTGGCTAGGTCAGTAGAAGCTGTGGCCACATGGCCCCCGTAGTACCAGATTTACACCTCCAGTCTGGTGTTGCAAGTGCCGTGTTACTTACTACCATGTACACTCCAAAATAGTGTCGACATAGCGTCGGGATTTTAGTCGCCTTTTACAACAGGCATGCCTACCTCGGAAATATGCTAATCCCTTACCAGGAAGGGTATTCCCATAGGATTCGCTTCCTATAGTTTAATCTCTTATTAACATAGGTATATCAAATTGCTTTGTAATATCTATTAAACGTACATAGCCAACCAATTTCAATTTTCGCTTTGAAGTTATTTGTATAATAATGTAACTTTCAGAAATCAAGTTAAAAATATCGTTACTTCCTGTTAACTACTTTTAAAATGAAATGTCACGTGCAAATGACTGAAAATTGAATAACAAAACATTTTTTTGCCTCCATTTGTAAATCAATTGACAATTCTGTTTGTTTTTTTAAATAAAAAAATGTAAGCATCTACAAAGTATCTCAAATTGTTTTTCCTTTGTTGAAA